CCCGCGGCTCCCTCCGCCCCCCCGGGGGCTGCCGCGGCCGCCGCCCCCTCTATCTATTTATTATGTTTATCTGCCCCTGCGTTTGTTTAATTTATGGGATCTATTTAGTCTCGGCGCGCCGCCGCGGGCCGCGACCTGGAAGGTGACTGTGTCCGCGGCGCCGCCGCCGCTCTGCCCTTCCCGCCCCCGGTATCCCGGTATCCCGTTATCCCGGCCCGCTCGGCCCGCCCGCGGCACCGGCGCCCTTCCCAATCCATACACGCGTTTGCCCCCCCCCGTTTCTGAAAACGCAGCGTGGGTGCCGTGTGCCCCCCGCGTGGGCAAGGGCCGGGGTGCGTTCGGGAAGGCGGGCGTTGAAGCCGGAGCGGAGCGAGCCCAGTGCTCCTCCATTCCTCGCTCCGGCGCTCCTCCGTCCCTCGCTCCGCTCGCCGCCGCGTCCCGCTCCAGCTCCGCGGGACACGCTGCGTTGGAGCCTTGTTCCAGCCACGCGGCGGTTGCGCTCCCGCCGCCCGTGCAGCCCCTCTCCGGGGGCGCAGGAATTCCGGAGGCGCCGGCGCGGGCCTGCTTGGCCGCCCGGGCTGCCCTTCCCGCCGTGTCGCCCGGTGTCCCGCAGCCCCGCGGCGCGGGACGCGCTCGTGGCACCCGCAGCTCCGGAGCTCGCCGAGCCGCCGGGCTCCACCCGCTGCAGCCGCAACGCAGACCCTGGGGTTACGCGGCTGAGGGCGGCGGGGACGGTCGTTCACAGCGAGCGTGTTTTGCCTGCGCTTTTATTTAGCGCTTAACCGGGTTGTTCAATGGCTTCTTGCATAGCCTGACCCTCTCTTTCCCCCCAGTAGGTCCTTTCAGCCACTTCCACAGTTTTCCTACGTTGCGCCACGCTGGATTTGAGCCACTGGCTCAGAATTCCCGGTCAAATCACACGGCTCAATTCAAATGCATCTACTTTGCCACGGTTTTCACCGCTTCCATTCCTGTCTTTTCCCTCAAGGGTGACTTAAAGCGTCCTGTGCTTCTTCATAGCCTCAGCAAGAAGGCAGCCTCGCACCTTCGCTGTGCCGGAGCTGTGGCGAGCTTGCCCTGCCCTTGGACCCACACGGACCCGCCGCTTGCCTGGGAACCGCCTGTCCCCGCGGCGAGAGCGCCGGGCACGTGCAGTTGTAGCATCGTCTCGAGCGCTGCTGCGCCGAGAGTGGCGGCGGGCCAGCCCGCGGAGCGCAGGGGATGTTTAGAATAATTAGTGATGGAATACCCTTTTAAAATAATTGTTTGGGTTCATCTAGCACTCAATCGTAGCGATATCTACCTCTAAAAATAGGCAGGCCTCCTGTGTAATGAGTCTCACAGCGTAAACAGTCGCCTCGTGAGTGACTGTTGTTACTTTTAGGATGTCTGTCTGAGATGCATGCGCTGGGGGGGCTGCCAGCTCCTCTGTGTCAGTTCAACTTTCATTTCTGTGGCAAACGCCGAGGCCTCGGCCCCTCCTGGGCGTCGTGTGGCGGTGGCAACGGCCCGGCCGCCCTCGCGTTGGCGGGAGCGGAACGGGGGCGAGGCGTTCGCGCCGCTCCCCTGGCCGCCCGGGCGCTGAGCGGGGCCGCTTCCCACGGGCGAGCGTTGGTCGCGCTGCAGCCTCCGCAGGACACGGGGAATGCGTCCCCCGCAGCGCCCGCCCTGCGCCCAGGGACAGCGGCACGGGCGGCCTCCCGGGCTCCGCGTCTCGCTCGTGTCCAGGATCGTCTGGGATCATCTGATGTGATCCCAGGGCTGGGACTGGGACCAGACTGGCCCCTGAAAGCCTAAGCGAGGCTCTGCCTTTGGACCTCTAAGAAAGTGGTCTGGTAATCGAAGACATGCAGCACTGGCTCTTGCTGCAGCTTCTGAAGCCAGTAAGTGCTTGGCACCCTCAAAACTCGGGCCACCCAGCTGCCCTAGGATGGATTTCAGTTTAAGGTTAAGTACCGAGGATTAAACTTGTGGTTTGGGACTTATTTAACAGGAGAGCCTGTTATTTATGTAGTTTGGCTTTTGAATGAAATAACCATATAATATAAATATTGTGTGAGAAAAAGATGCTTGACAAATTGATTTTTTTTTGTGAGCAAACTGTGTTATTTTTCTTTTCAAGCAATTTTTTCCTGTCTGCATATGGTGTAGCTGTTTCTTGCTGTTTCTTACTGTTTTAACAAATGAGTACATTTTTTCCATCTTTGCAGTAAATATTGTTTGTATCTTGTGCATTTAATGAAATGTATTAGAATGCTAAGCCTCCTGGAGGCATTAAAAATATTTATTTTTGCGACTAATTTTAATCCCCAGAGAGACTGTCCACATGCATTAGAAGCTTCTAGGAGTTTCTTGTGAGCATTAGGGTTTGCAGCTGACCAAAGCAATAGCACATCCATGCATTAAAAAAAAAAAAAAAAAAGAAGGAAAAAAACCAAAGTGGGGAGATCTGAAATTGCCATTAATTGTCATCTTATTGCAAGGTAACTTCAGAATGAAGTTAAAGGCAGAAGTCCTCTCAAGACTATTTGGCTGCAAAGGGCATTTGGATCTTTCCGCTGGCTGCCTTTGAGCCAGCTGTGATGTTTATCAGGTCACGGGTGAGGGGAATTTGGGCTGTCCCCAAAAGATAACGGAAGTTTCACCTGGAGCCCTCGTTGTTTCACCCAGCGGAGCCTGTTGTTGGTGGAGGCTGTAGGTGACTTTGAAGGAGTTGCAGCTGAAGCTTGGGAGCGAGTGGCGCCTGGCTGCTGAGCGCTGTGACTCAGTGCTGTCCCTTTTGATGGATACCAGCCCTGTGCCAATGAACCTAAGAAAACGACCTGGCTGCAGAACTGTCTTCTGTGAGTGTCTGCTGTCGGAGGCAGCTGAAAATGATGAGCTGTTTTGGATAACTACAGGTTGGTTGGATGAAGTTGATAATTACTGAGATTTCTTACATGTGGTAGAGAACACCTGAGAGTGGTTGAAGCTCAGAAGTGGCCAGATAGTGAGGCCTGAAGGTTCTTGTTTTGTTTTGACCTCTTCCTTCTTCTGCCTTTGCACTTGATGGCTTGCTCATGGTATCATCATCTTATCCCTTTATTATTTTTGTTTCCCATTGATTTACTGGAATGGAAACGGTGATGTGCTTTAATTACTTTCATGAATGCAGGCATTATGTGAAGGAGAGATGAATTCCATGATGCTGCAGGGTTTGGTCTCCTCTCCCTTCTGTCTCCAGGCTGTGGTTCCTGCCTTTTGGGCAGGATTGCCCTGGTGCCGGTCTTGCCAGGGAACCCCAGCACCCCGTGTGCTGCTTCGCTGGGTTTCCCAGGCATGGAGCTTTTGTGATCGTATCATTGTGGGGCCGTCAATGGATGGGAAAGTCCGTGGCGTTTCATGGTGGATCAAGATGCCAAAGAGAAGTTGCCTGGGAGTTGTGTGAGGACAAGCGTCCGAATGGAGGAAGCTCTCAGGTCGGTGCTCTAGCTGGAGGACAAGCTCTTGCCTGGGTGCAGATGTATTCCTAGGCATCGGAGGAGCTTTTCGGCAGAAGGATGAACAGGAAATCAAGTCGCACAAGTAGTTCCAGTTGAAGCGGCATGTTCTTGTTTTCCTTCTTGGGCGTTGTGAGGAGCGATCGGCCCCCAAACCCTGCAGTGCCATAGGTGGTGCTTAGGGAAACAAAACCCACCTTTAGGTGCTGTTGTTTTCCTTTTGCTGCGCGTCCTGCCCCTTGGGCAGCAGCGGGGAGACATTGGGGGTGAATCTCTATGCAGCTGTGAGATGAATGAAGATTTAAAGTTTTGTTTTAAAGATGTTATCCAGGGAAATGTCCCGTGTGGTACTTCATAGCTACGTGGATCAGGATTTTTGTGCGGAGCGCTATTGGCAAGGATGCGAAAGGCAAGTGGGGATTGGAGAGTATAGTTGTTTTTCTTTTCTTCCTGTTTGCGCCAAGATAGCTTTAAGGTATTTATACTGATGTCCTTCCCACTTGGCTGCCGAGGCTTTTCCTTTTTGAGGTGTACTGAAATAGGAAAATCAACTTTTCATTTCCTTTCCCCGACGGCCCCAAGATTCAAACAGAATAAAACTCTCGGAGCTGGTGTTTTGAGGCATCCTAGGGGTAAGATGCTGAATAGCCTCAATATTTTAATTCAGGGAAAGGGAGGGAAGAATATGCTGGATCTTGAATTCAGAGGGATGTATAAAACTTCCCTCATTCTGTGGCAAACGAATTTGCATGTGTTACTGTGTAACTGATTGCCTTGGAGGCCGTTTTTGTTGTTGTTGTATATAGACAATTTTGTGAAAGGCTCTTGGGTATGTTGGGCTTTGGGACTTGCACCAATGTCAATTTAGCATCATCCCAAATGCTGTGTATACCAGTGCTCTTCATTCCCTCCCTCCTCCTGCTGTTACCTTTCTCATTTGAACCCAGGGACAAGACAAACTGCTTAAAATTTGATCAAAAAGAAAGCAAGCAGGTAGGGAAAACAGCTCTGTCTTTAATATGTCAGTTGTAGCATATGAAAATGAGATTTTCACGTAGGAGTTGCAAGGCAACCTCAATTACAAATATTTTTTCCTGTTTAAGCTGTTCAGGTTTCAATGTTTGCAGGGACAATTAGCATTCACCTCTTGTGTTCTGCAGAACTACCACCAAAAGCGTCCAGTCTGTCTACAATGAGGTTGGTTTTATTTGTGTTCATTTTTTCAGCTCCTCATGTGTATTAGCAAATCCATTTTTAAATTTGAACTTTCACTGCCTTTCCACTAGGTAATCGTACTGTAATATTTGGGTGCAGTCTGCTGGGATCTGTTTGGAGGTGGGGAGAAACTCTTTGAATTCTTTTTTTTTTCATTGTAAATTTTCTAAAACTTTGTTTGCAAAGTCTGTTTTGAATCTAAATGGGTTCTTAATTTTCACATCTAATATTGAGCACGGGTGTTGTGTACTTAATCTCAACAAATGAAACCTGTTAAATGAGTGCCATTAAGAGCAGAATAGGATCAGCCCTATCTTCTCCTGGGAAAATTGAGCTTGCAGGTTAGCAGGAACGTAAAATGTTGACAGCTGTAGCAGAAGAGTTCACCTGTGGGTACTGAACACACCCGAATACTGTCTGTAAATTGGGAATTGTCCTCATGGGAAATTAGTGGAGACTGGGAGGACATTTAGGGAAAACGCCTGTGCAGGTCTGCCCTGCTCATGCAGCAGCTGTAAGAATGGGCTAGAGGGACCTTTGTGTGGCCCACTGTGGATGCTGTTTTGAGGGTAATAAGGGGGAAAAAACGCGTACTGCTGTGGTAAGGGGTCAGAAACAGGCTAAGATAACACATTTCTACCATGCTTTTGTGCATAGACATGCCATCTTTTTCAAATCTCAGGACAGAGGATCAGTAATGGTATATTTAGGTATCTGAAAAATGAGAAGAATGAGTATAAGCGGCTGGATGTTGGATGGCCGGGCTGTGCTTCGTTTGTGAAAAGCTTCTAATGAAGCTGAATGGGGAAACCTCGTTTATAACCTCCCCTCACCAGCCCTGGGTTCAAAGCCTACACTTGCTGCATGGGGCAGTCTGCAGAGGAAGGAGTTGCTGTTGGCTTCTGTTTTTTGTTGGATATTTACCTGTTTGCACTGGTTCTGATCACTCTTGGTCACTTTTATCCTCTGAAAACAGCTTGGAGGGGGAGGGAAGAGAGAGAGATGCAGTTTCCATCCTTTTGTGCAGTGGAACTTAGCAACGTGTTTTATGTAAGAGGAAACTTCTTATAGTTACTAATCTGCATAAGAAATAGCATTTGTTCAGTTAAATTTCCAGAGCTTTCGTAACTGCAGCATCACATGTGGTTGGACGCACTGACCTCGTGTACATTTTTATCCCTGTGGGCTCTGCAGGTGCTCTGTGGAGGCTGTGGTTCCTGAGGTCCCTGCCAGCCTCCGCTCCCAGATAGTCACATGGAGACGCACAGGAGAGGGGCTGTGAATCTGCCACGTTGCCATCACACAAAGAGATTAGTCTGAAAATAGTTAGTCTAAAACTCAGTCCGCTTTTTTCCCCTTCCGTAAGACGTGTTTTGCAGGAGCGGTGTGGTGCTACACTTCCATTCTCTCAGAAGAGAGTCAGCTTGGATGTCTTGTCCTGAATTTCAGCCTCTCCCTTGGTTACAAGCATTCTTACGGCCAGTGAAGTCAATATCCAAGTGCTGAGAGCAGCTGTACTTTCCTGGGATTTAATATGCATTATATGGACATTCTTGCAGTATTTTTACAGATGCTTTTTATCTTTTGCCACTCACCAATGCCAAGCAATCTTCTTTCACGTGATGTAGCATGATACTATTTTGATAAAAAGCGGAGCTGGAAATTAATACTTAACTAGAACCAGTGATTCTGGCAGGAGGGTTGGAGTGTATCTACCTTAGTATTTTAATTTGAGCTGGGACTGTGCTTTTTGCAGCGAATCTCCTGGTGGCCTCCCTGTAGCTGTGTTACAGGTTACGCTGCAGCAGCATGTGGGAGCATGGGCCTCATTCCTGCTTGGAGGAATGAATAGGAGCTGTASGAGCCCCTTTGGCCCTCCATGAGCTGGAGGGTGGATTGTGCCTCTGTGACTGATGAGTATTCAGCCTCTGATGAACCAGAAGCTAAATGAGACCTTTGATGGTGTCAGCAGCTTTGAGGAATGTGCTATGGAAAAATACAGCGGCCTGGAACGGAAGCGTGATGGTCTAGCTCAAGAGCTAGGCTGTCTTTGCTTCCAAAAAACTCAGATGGCCAAAGTCTTTCAGGCTAGAGAGCCATCAAGAAAGTGGAGAAAATCCTTTCCTGGATCTGTAGCATCCCTTTGATGCCGGGGACTAAGGACAGCATGAGCCCAGCAGTCTCCTCTGTTGTTTTGAGGAGACCACCGAGTCCTTCTGGCTAACTTAATGAAGGGTGGGAATCTCTCTGTATGAAATCTGYTTTTCGTGTGTATTTGAATCTCTTTGATGAGAAACAAGGAAATTATGTTAGATCCAGTTCTGCTGTTTATCATTATGATAAAAAGCTGGAAATACCRCGCTTCCTTTGGAAACATATTGCTGTATTTGCACAAAAGGAGAATTAGATGAAAGCTTTTGGGTAGTTTATCCCTCTTGATGCTTTAATATCGAAGTTAATTTCCATAGGCTTCAGTACTGATGCATGTGAGTAGTGGGATATAATGAATATGACTATAGCTGTACCTGTGTGTCTGGTGCTGCCTGGTTTCTCTTATCTGTTGAAGGCTATTTTTAGTAAGTAGTTGCTTTTTAAATTACGTGGTGGAAATGAGTGAATAACCAGCATTTCATTCACTGTCCTTACATATGCTTAAAAATAGTATTAACATAATCTTCTTAYATGCTTTTCCCTCCATTGCTCCCAAGTTCGTAAAAGAAGTCGAGTTCACTATTAATAAGATCTGTGAATGAAGTTTCCTTGAAGCAAAGGACTTCTTTTGGATTTTGGTTATATTTATTACTAAAACAATCATTTATGTATCCTTTTGAAAGATAGTGTAATTTTTCAGGCATATAACTTTTTTTCTCTACTCTTTTCCCCGTTTGTTTTGAAATTGCTTGTTTTATCCTGTCAACAATTTTTGTAGTTTTTGTGCTTAGATACAGTCTTTGAAATAGATATATATTTCTGTGAAAGGAAAAGGAACATCTTGAAGCCAACGTCACACTTGGCATTGTGAGAGGGCTGATGAGCTTGAACAGATGAAGATGGTGGTTGACCTCTGCCTGTCCCTAAGTCAGGAGACCAGCATGGATCCTCTGCTGTCTGTGCCAGTGAGGAAAGGTCACTATTCACCTTTCTTGGTGTTGCTGGAGAGGGATGAAGGGAGCTCCTGCAGAGCTAGACTCTGCTGCAGGTGCCRTCCAAAGGGGCGTTGGTGCCTCTTGGTCCCTTGCGTTCAGTGCTGGGGAACATCACGGCGATGAAGCCAGCAGCAAGGCTGTCTCGTGGGTGGTGGTGATGTCCAGGCTGTTGCCTTGCCGGGTGCATGGTGTTGGTGGGTGCCAAGGATTGAGGAATTACCACCTTTCTCCTTCGTGTGATTTCCCCAGAGGGGACAGATACTGGTTTGAGTCTGTAACTCCAGTAGTTCTCAGGATTGCTTGAAATTCCTGGGGTGACAGGGGCCGAAGTGAAGCAGAGCTGGTAAGGAGGCCTGTTGGAACAGGAAGAAAAGTCCTCTGAGAGCCTCTCCCACCATCACAGGTTGGATCTGGTTTGGGAACGGATTTCCGACGCTCTCGATCCGGGAGCAGCGCCGCAGCCGTAAGGTCTCGTGACGCCGGGTGAAGCGCCCCYGAGGGCGGCCTTACCCGTCGCTGTGACGGCGCCGCGCGGCCGCCGGGAGGCAACCGGGGAGCCCCGAAGCGTGGCRGCCACGGCGGGGAGCGGGCCGAGGCGCGGGGGGCCGGGAGCTCTCC